TATTCCTTTCTTTGCATAATTCCACTCGCTAAAGCTATAACATTCATGGTTTTGCTGGCTATAGCTGTACAGTTGATTGTTCTCCAGCCCAGCTAAACTATTTTCCTATACTCCTAGAACAGAACAGAACATTTGTATTGTTGAGTAAGAAAAGTGCCTTACTCACTGCTCCCCAGTTCATACCCAGACTTTTCTGGTGAAGTGCTGTTTGCTCAAAACAAAGCTACAAAATTTTCAAACACTTAAGTAGTGCAGATAATGATGTATCAGTGCTCAAGCCAGTGTTCAAGCTAGAGCAATATAAAACTGAGTACAATGTTCCTCCAGTCTCTCGCAATTTGTCTCTATTTTATTCAGTTCTCCTGATAGAATTGGCTTTTTCTAATGGAAGAAATCTTGAGATAGATCTTTGTCTCTCTGAAGAGTCAAAGCTCATTCAAATGGCAAAATGCAGGTTCTAGCAGTAAAGGGCTGGCTGTAGCTGAAAAGGCAAAGTTGAAATTATACTGTGATGAGTTTGCTGCTTATAGTAATGAGTCTGCAAAGTAATTCAGAAATAACCATGAACACCAATGTAACTGCAAAAGTTTTTTCAGAGTTGGAAGAACAGTTTTAATGAAAGTAGGGAACAGTTTACTAATGATAAGGAACCATTCTAAATTAGGTTAACAAGTTGCATTGGAGGGAAAGACTTTTAAACAGTATCATATATTAAAATTGCACATAGATAGTTATGATACATTGATAAGAATTTTGTTTTGCTGTTTATCCTTCTACACCATTCATTATCATTATACTGGTAATCTTTTATAAATACTAGTTCAGGCATATATGGCTTTGTAGAAACGCAATACAAACCTGCAGACTATAATGCCAAGTTGTCCTAGGGGATCATTTAACTATTAATTTCAATCCAGAGCTGCCTGTTAAGCAAAATATGCTGATTTACTGTGTTTCTACTAAATGTATGTATAGAATCAAATATATGCATGAATTTTTAATACAACATCAAAGTTGAAATTTTACATGGAAGAATTTCAAAAATTTCAAGATTGAACAGCCAAAGGGTTATTAACTGTCCCTGTAGTGCTTATGGATATGTAGTGAAAAAATCAGTTCTTGGTTTCTTTATTATTAGTATTGACCAATTTTGTTATGTGGAACACCTTTGTTATGCATGTTATTACTAGGAAAGAAAAAACATCTTAGTGATATAGGTAAGGCAGGTCAGCCCTGGAAGATTCTCTACCATGTTATGAACCACAAATTAAGAGTTGGAGAATTACTTCAATAGTGTTCCATTACGAGATCACACAACACTGAGCAATAAAGTATGCTCATCAGCATACTAATAAAAATGTGGTAATGAGAATTACTGGACTTTTCTCACCCCTATGGAGTAAAAGATACAGCAGCTTTGTATCACTGTATATATGTTATGCCTTTTTTTTTTTTTTAAGAGCTTATTTTAATGCAAATGCACAAAGAAATAAGGTTGCTATGGGAACACTAACTCTTAATTCCTTGACGTGTGCATGTAACACAACAAATGTACTATTCCACTAAGCCTGTCTTTTGCATATAATGTTCGGTGCATTTTCAGAGAAAGAATGATTTGGTAAACAATGAAGGGAATGGATAGAAAGAACTAAAATATAAGAAAGAATTCTATAGGACATTAAGAGGTATCTATAGTTCCTGGGGGGAAAAAAAAAGGACGAAGAATATGCCCAGTTTCTATTTCCTGAAAATTTCCAATCTAGATGATATTCTAAGCTTATTTCATAAAATTTCTGTGAGCTGAAAACCAGTATTACTAATATCCTTGGCTACTGGCTTTCAGGTATATTAATTGAAAACCTGGAGACAGTGAAGTGAATTTTTACAGTCAACTCTCTTACATAATGTTGGAAAGAATTAACAGTTATGTAGCCAGTAGAGATAAAATTGCATAACCATTTGATAAACTGCACCTATTATGTGCAGTTGACCTTCCAGACTTCATTGTGCCATTATCCTTTTTCCCTATTGCTTTCCCATTCTAGCAGTGTTTGAAAAATGGAGCAATCATAAAATATATCTGTCTAGAGATACTTGTTCAGGATTCCATTCTAAATTGCACTTACCTGTGATGCAGAATTACTAGTACCTACTCCAGCCCTGGGCCCGACACACGTGGATAGTTTAGTACCTTACACCTCTGCAAAGAGAAAGCTGTAAATGTTCCACATCTGTAAATGGGTCCATCTCTGCAGTGGGACAGACAACATCTGCTTATATATTTTTCAGCTGTTTATATTTTTTCACACTGCGTAGCTCTCGAGGATCCATTATGCAGCTATTAAATTGGAGACCTACTTCTTTACGTAAAAGCTATGTTAGGCCTTTTTTTGTCCATCTCTTCTAATACATGTGTTTAAAGTCATATCAATCAAGGTTTCCACCTTGGCAGATGCAGTTATCAGAAAAAAGAATCTATTTATCTGGTATTTAAACAATCTAAAACTTTTTCCAGTAGATTTTTGATAAGAACTCTGACCTATCCAGAATATGATTAGGTGAGGAATTAATTGTCTCACATTCCTTCCTAGGTTGTCTTACAAATTATGTACGCCTATATCAGTATCTGGTCAAACATCTTTTTACAAACATAATTCCAAATATTTATGTTTTGATGTTGCTCCTTGTGGTTATCTAGTAAGATTTTATTCTTTCTTTGACTCTTGAACACAGAATAAAGAATATGGGGTATTGTCTATTATCATATATGCAACAGATACAGATTGATAGTCCTTTCTCTTGCGGTAAAACCAGTATAAAATATTGGTTATTAGTATTTTGTTAGTGCAGCTGTGGAAATTTAAAGTATAAGTCTATGAATTTGGACAGCATCAGACCCTGTTTCCATTTTTTACTCTACTCTTTAAAAATGAAATTTGTAGTGATTCCTAATTTGAATTTAATTGTCCAAGAAATTATTGGTCAGTTGCTTTAGGCATTACAAAAATAACTACATAAGACAAAAATGTTATTGAATTCAATGGACACGGGAAAGGTCAATAATTCTCATTAAATTTCTTAGAAACCTCATTTAGCGTGAGCTAACTACCACTGAAATTCAACTCTGAGTGCGGGATCTGGATCCATAATTGTCTTTGTTTCTACTTCTCTGGAAAATATTTGGAATCAAAAGTAATTGCACCAAATATTAAAAAAAAATCAAACCTCCTGGTTATTTTCAAATAATGTTTCCTCCTTTCATATTCCTATGCAGCTCTGTATGATTTGAAGATGATAAACTGCAGTATCTTTCCGAGTAATGTTGGAAGTAAAAGAGGTAAATAGAGGTAAATACACGGCAGATACTGTAGTTGGTCATATAAATCATATGAGGTGCTTCATAAAAAGCTATTCGATTATTCAAAGTTATTCAGACTACCCAAACACTCTCTCCTCTTCTAACCTTAGTATCCTGCATTATTCTGGGAATCATTTCTTAATAACGATATGTTAAAACAAACCTATGTTCCTAGTACAGGAATAACTGAGGGTTTATTAAAATGAAAGAAAAAGTCCAAATATAGATTTAGATATTTTCTTTTTTTTTCAGATTAGATTATTTATCATATAAAACTTCACACCAAAAGTTAATTTTAAAAAAAAAGTTTATTCAATGAAGTAAAAAATGGTGGTGGGGGAAAGGAGAAAGGATTAAAGATAGATTATACATTTTGGTCCAGTGGGAAGCATGCCTATACAAATGAAAGACTACCATAGACATCATGAGTGTTTCTGAAACACAGTTATCCTTCTTCTTTATTGCTGAATAATAATTTATTATTTGCCTAAATCAGCAGCAGTTTTTACTGGCCTCTCTTATGTGCCTGTCTCTCCTTATTCTCTGCCTCCTTCTTCTGGAAACAGTTTACATGGGCCAGATACAGTCCCTTTTCTCCAGACTTTCAGTGTAAGGTCTGTAAAAGCCTTGCAAGATTATAAGTTAGCATTTTTAATCTGGTATGTAGACAAATGAGAACGTGTCTGATAGAATGGAATGGTTTTTTCAATACTGTATGTTTATCGGGAGTGTGAATACTTAATGAGAGCATTTTCTGTTGTAGGTAATACAGATTGTCAGTGCCATTGACAAAGATGATCCTAAAAACGGGCATTATTTCCTGTACAGTCTTCTTCCTGAAATGGTCAACAATCCAAATTTCACCATCAAGAAAAATGAAGGTAAATATAAAACATATATAATGTGTATCTGAACAACTTAGTTTTGAATTGCTTTATTGACTTCCAGTTACCTTACCAGTTTGTCCCTTGGGGAATTACAATGTAGACAATCTGTTTAGTGGTACCTTCATTGTATCTCTTAATCTATTTCCAATATCGTTACAGTAGATAAGAAGAAAGTAAAATGAATACTGAATTTAGATCCAGAAGACAGCTCACTGGCTTAAATAAAATGAAAGGATGGATTTACTGCCTGTTGTATTTCTATTAATTTGAAATTCCAGAGATATGCTGTAAGATGAAAATCTGAAAATATGTTGATAAATAAATGTTGATACTACATTGACTGATATAGATGAGAGCATAAAATTAAGTATCTACTAAATCCCCCAAAGGAAACATCTTTTAAGCCTGTTTGTTGTGTGTATAAAGGTTCCAAAGTATTTCAGTTAGGCACTTTTACTAGAAAGAGAAATCTGCTAGGTCAGCAAAGCCCAGAAGGGCACTTTGTATCACTAAGCTTTAGAGCACTTCTGGAAGGGCATAATGTAATTTTGTAGTACTGTAGAAGTGGAATTTCATGCGTGATGGAAAAAAAAGACCCAGTTAATATTGTTGAGCAAGAAATTTACACTGATCCTTTTCTTTGGCACACAGATGTATTTGAAGGTCATGTGACAAAGAGCTAGGAATCATTACAAGAATGCTATAAATAGTGCTTTATGTATTTGTACTTACTTGAATATTCAGCAAAGTTTTTCCATCTTGGCTTTTTTTTTTTTTTTAATGAAACACTACCCTGTCAGGATTTTTAGTCAAATTCAGTCTTTTATTTCTCTTATTTGAAATTATAATGAAGGAAATCCCTATTTAGTCCATTACTAATAGGAAGATGTGTGTGTGAGGTGTATGTGCATGAATGTAAAAGTAATACATGAAATGTCAAATAAAGAGAAAATGCTGTTTTCATTTTTTATTCTAGCTGTTCCAACCAAAAAGAATGATGGCACCAATTTGTTAAATGAGACTATAAAACCCTAAATTCTTAAATCTGCTTAAATATATCCTGATTTTTTCTTTTCATTAGATATGTTTTTCTCTTATAGCATTCACAAAGTGTGTCTCTACTTATATTTGTACTTGCATGTAGGAAGTAAGTCTCTATGTTTTCTGCACTTACAGGAGAAGATAAAACAAACCTCTTCAACATGTATTTCATAATCATCAGTAGTGTAACACAAATTGAATTAAGCATCCTAAATGTGAGGTGGTTTGCTTTGCACAGCATGACAAAGTAAAAAAGGTCTTAGTATTTCTCTTCATGTTTAAATACTTAGCTCACATCACTAATTTGCCTTGTCCTTCCAATCTGTTACCCATTTAAGACCCACTCTTACTCCTAGTCACAGCCAACGGCAAAATGACTCCTGATCTGAATGGGAGTGAGGAACTTTTCTATATAACATGGTTTAGAAAAATAAGTCCAATTTTGCTACAACATCGCCACTCAGTTTTACAGAGTTTCTAATGCATTTAATCAGTTAAATGCGTAAATCCTCTTAAAACAACCAAATGAAATCTCTTGAAATTAAAAATCCACTTGAAGAGACTTTTCTGATTTAGTCTTTCAGTATCCAAGAATAAAATTCCATCTATGCATACCCTCCTTTTCTATCAAGATTGCTCTATCAGGGATGTAGCCCATGGTTGATGCTAGAACATGATCTCCCACAGGAAGAAAGTATTCCTGTCAAAACCAAAATTTGGTTGAGGTGAGGTTTCGTGTCACTTAAACATCATAAATCTTTAGTATTTAGTATTTAGTTATGCCACTTAAACAATGAACTTGACCATGACTTTGTCTTGCATATATCTGCTAGATAAGCATGAGTGATTATTCTTGTTGAAAAAACTCCAGTATTCCTAAAAAAACTGAACTCTCAAGCCAAATTTCTCCTTAGTTGTACTAATGAGTGTCTGGGCTGTCCAAAAGCCAGTTTGGTGTGGTTTATTAAAAGCAATGTAAGAAAATGCCTATAACAAACCCTACTCTTATTTCTGGAGAATTGTGTTTCTGAGGATCAGATCAGTGCACAACCCACTTAGGCTTGGAACGGAAAAACATTTCCTCATACTGGTGGGCAAAATCCTTGACATTTTCCTGACTGTGACCTCAGCCTCAACTTCCTCCCATATTCTTGGCTCTGCCAAATTCTTCAAGGCAGCAGAGACTGCCTTGATGGCTGCTGAAGAACTGCTATCCTCTTACGGATATTATAAATGGATTGCATTTTCTCAGGAAACGTAATATAGAGACCCAATCTTTTATTTGCTAGAATTAGTAATTTTTTTTCTTTATTTAAATGAGTTTTCATATCTTGCCTTTCTCCAGAATTCTCTCAAGTGCAGAGATAAACAAAAGTACCCCTCCGCAAGAGTGTTTGTGAAATTATATTACCCTTTAGGCTTCTTCTTTTGTGCTTTAGGTAATGTTGTGGTATTTGGCAATTACTTCTCTACTTCGTGAAGTAATGACGTTAACTGATCTGGTGGCACTAATATGTAAACAATGCAGTTTGGCATCTGCCATGGAAAGAAAGCTGTGATATTCTGTTTCTGTCCCTCATACTAAAGAATATAGAAGATGCATGTATTTTGGAATTTTCTCTTGCTATATAGAACATAAACATAACCATTAATTAATTTAGTTTGTTGCTTACCGGCTAATTCTATTGTTTTAAACTTTCCAGATTGCCCTAAGGCAGGTTCACATGATACTTCAGTAATTAACTGTGCTGCCCAAGTGTACCACAAATATTATGATCAGCTACATTGCTATTGCCAAACATGTTTAACTGAGGGAGACAATGGTGTATCTTTATCAGAAACCACAAAAAACCCCACTTCTCCTAAGACTTCCTTGAAATGATATACCGGTATCCTGTATTTGCTTGGTCTGTTAAATTTGCATATCTACAATTCTTTCTGTAGACAAGATGCCCAAAACTGTAGAGGCTGTAGTGCCTTTTTGATGTAAGTAATGTAAAAATGTAGATTTTAATGCCATCATACATCTCACTGAAGGTCTTTAAATCATCTCTTAGAAATCTTTATTTTCATATCTCCTGATACGTTCTTTCTGTTCTTTTCGAAGCTCAAATGTCTGTTACTGAGTAGTTTTTCTTAGGCTTTGTGCCTTGGCTAAATGGGCAGCTGCTGATAATCTGAAGTGAAGCAATCCTACTCTCTCAAACTGTAATGCAAGGTACACTGGTCATTTAGATTGCCAGATGCATAAACCTTTATCCCTTCACAAGAGAAATAATAAAATTATGTAATAAAAATGTAAGAAATTAACGCAACATGAAAATCATGTAACGTTTTCTATGTTAGTCCTGGTGACTAAACCTGTGACTCCATAACCTAACAAATCCTTGACTGCATAAACTCATATAGACTGACTGTCTGGTCACTTACTTTTCACATCTCTTTGTGCTGGGTTTCTGCATAGGAGCAGAAATGTGAAAAATGAAAGTAAATGTTTTGTGTAGTGTTTCTGACAAACTTCAAACAAAAAAACCCCTAAAACTTCAGTTGAAAATATCTGATGTTTAGGCAGGTGTTGATACACCCTAACAATGTGTTGTAGATTCCTTAGCTGAATGGAATTAACCCTTCCAAAAAGCTGTAGGATCACAATAAATGACAAAAAAAATGACAGGAATTTAGACAACTGATAAGGATTTTGTACTGTCATGGCACCAGTAAATTGAAATGAGACCTCTGGAAATGGTATTAGCATTTGTTGACAGTCTTTTTTCAGGTGAGTGGTCTTCACAAAGTGTCACCTAAAATCTAATACCAATACATGGATCGTCTCCTGCATCCCAAACAATACGCTCACAGCAATACCTGTTTTCAGCATTGAATTCCTAATGTTCTTATGGTTTCCTTAGGTTGTTCAAGTGAGAACAGAATTTTGTGATAAAAGCATTTTCACAGATGTAAACATTTTGATATGCTGCCAATGCAATTCTTACTTTCAAAAACTAGCAAATACATCTTTGCCATAAAGTAAAGAGACTTAAAGTTTTTCCCAAAAGATGTTTCCATTGCTATTCCATTTTTCTTATGCCAAATTCTGTTTCCTAATGGAATAAACCGCGAATCAAATGTTCCATAGTGCCTTTGGATGCAGTAACTCTTCTGACAGAAGAAATGGTGCATCTCTACTGTATAAATGTGATACTACATACCTCTTACTAGGGCTTATATCGTAGAAGCAATCAGAGGGTTGCTTGGAATATGGGCAGGCCTTACCTTTGGGTTAAGAGAACCATCTTAATGCTATGCGTTCGTATTCCTGCAGAAGTCCAATAGCCTTACAAGTAATCAGCCTCCCCTCTTCCCAAAATATTCAATGTCCGTCTGGTGATTTGAGCTCTGAATTTGGGCCAAACTGATTTTAGTGAGTGCGTAGTAAAGAGGTTTTTTTTTTCTTTTTAAATTGAAGCATTGTATGTACTTCAGTGATGAACTGTTCTGTTGGTTCTCTATAATGAACATAATATTTATTCTGAGCCATGCTTAGTCTGTTATATCTATGATACCTATAATAGCGCCAAGAATGTTCATGTTTAAATGTCCATTTCTTTTGTTCTTTCCATCTAGCAAGTTTAATCTGTCACTTATGTCCTCGTTGTGCTGCCTTCAAAGTATAGGCAATGTATCATGCATTTAAAAGGAAATAGCCTAGTATAATCATTTCAATCACTAACTGGCTTGCATGCCTTTGTATACTATTGCACATCTGATTTTAAAGTATTTTCTATTTCTCATCACCTCTTTACCATAATAAACAAATATTTCTAAACTATTTAGAAATAGCCAGAGAAGACAATTACATGCAACCTCTCTTTTAGACATCCCAAATAATAAAAACAAATGATCAGTGCTACTTCATTTTTGAAAGTACTTCTGTGTCACTGTGTTTTTAATGT